GGCAGAAAATAAAATGGTAGTCCTGCGTGGTAGTACACACCTGTAATCCCGGCACTCAGGAGGCTGAGGCAGGATGATTGCAGATTATTGGAGGACAGCCTAGGCTAAATAGTGAGTTGAAGGCCAACCCGAATTACAGAGAGAGACCTTTACCTCAAGAAAAACTAAAAACAAGAAAGAAAAATAAAATAAAATGGTTTCCCAATAAAGCAGGGGCGTGTATGATACTTAATACTGATACTGAGACTAGATGTACTCATTTGACCATGTGCAGTTCAGAGTCTACTATGTTTCAGGGGAACTCAAAATGGGAAAGGAAGCCAGATAAATTCCACAAAATACCTGGCCAGGGTTTCTCCAAATATGTAGTCTCTGGAGGAGCTAAATAAAAACTTGAACACCTTGTTGAAATGCAAATTTCTGGGCCTTACTCTACACCTTTAGGACAAATATCTCTAGGGCCAAGGGCAGGGAGTATGCATTAAATATAGTATGCACCTAAGGTGATCTCAAGATAGATGGCTTAGAGAGGACTTCAACAAATGTTGCTCTTGATCTCACTCATACGTGGAATCTTAAAAGCCCACTGTCATAGAAGCTGAGAGTAGAACGATAGTTATCAGAGGTTGGGAAGAGGAGGACAGGGAAGGACCAGGAGAGGCTGATCAGTGGGTACGAAGATGCAGTCAGGAGCTAGAAGCTCTGGTGTGCCACTGCGCAGTAAGGTGAATATAGATAACAGTGATGTAGTTTGTATCACAAAAAGCTGGAAGAAAGAATATTGAATGTCTCACCATGAAAAATTATAGATAATAAAGGAGATGGAACATGTTTACCCTGATTTCAACATTACACAATGTACACATATAAACATCACATGGTATTCCATTAATATGCATAACTTTTATGTATGTTAAAATACATTTTTAAAGTTTTAAAAGACATTTCTCTAGATTAATATGAAAGTATATAACTATGATAATAACATGTACATTTAGTGTGCCCTGTTAGTTGTGTCCTTTGAGCAGAAGACAAAGAAAATACTTAGAAGAAACATGAGAATGATTCTAATGGAGACAAAAATGTTTGTGACATACATCCAAGCCCATCAATTATAAAGACTTTGGTTAGATGTTTGAATTCTTGTGGCCCTATCTTATTTACATTGCAAAGGGGAGCTTTGGGGAAAAAAAATGTAACCAAGGGAATGATGTTACATGAATTATATCTGTTGCTAAGTATAGACTGGAGTAAAAGAGTGAAACAAGACTAGGAAGATTGGTAAATAGGCCATGGAAGTAGTCCAAACTGGTGGCTTAGAAGCTGTTGGCAATAGAGTTGAAAAGAAAAAACTGGGTTGGTTTGCCATGTATTTTTGTATGATCATAATGGGTTGGATGTAGGCTATGGGGCCAGTATCAAGGATGATTCCTGAGTTTCTAACTTGTAAATGGTTAAGGTTGTAGGCACTATGCATGGATTTGAGAGTTTGAGCAATAGAACATGAAGCCCAGATGAGGCAGGTAAGAGCTGAAATCCTGGAAAGCGGTGGTATCAGGGGACCTGACAAATAGCTGCAATCAGAGTAGGAGAACTTCATGGACTGGTCAGCGAGTGCTGCACTGGAATCCATGATGTCCACAGTGCAGCAGTGCTGAGTGATAACCAGCTCTGGCTTGAACATGAGCACAGTGGGCTGAAGAGGGCAGATGTGAAGGTCAGGGGAAGTGGAGAGGCCAATAAGCTAACAGGCCAGGATACTAGTTGAATCACATCAGGGTGGAGTCATCACTGTGGTCCAGGGGCCAAAATCATTAGTGCACTGGGGATTCTGTCCAAATCAGTAGATGAGGATAAATAACGAACAGCTGGATGACAGAAACATTAAGTGAACCAGAGCTTGTTGTGAGGGGAGAAGAAATAATGGTTTGGAACTTGCATTGGGAAGCCTTGAAAGAAAATATCCTGCCTTTCAATACATGTATTGTGGGAGAATAAGCCCCTCTGTTTTCTGAGGCCACAGGTTTTTATTTAAGGCAAACACTGAGACTCAAATAAAGAAACATGTTAAGTGGCAAAGCACAAACATGTTATCACTTTTTGTTTATTGGGTTATATAGTCTGGTTTCAGATACAGCACTCTCTATTTTTAATATTAAAGATTTCATATTTATGCTTACTGAAATATGTATGGATAAAACACTATGATGTCTGGGACACGCTTCAAAATAATCAAAGGCAGGTGGGTGGAGGCCATTAAATGAAGTCAAATTGGCTATGCACTGACAATTTTGCAAGACCAGGAATGGGTCCTTACAGGTGCCTTAGCTATCCCGTTTATATCTGTTGGATCTTTCAAAATAAAAGGTTAAATAAACCACTTCTTTATGGACTCACCCTTTTTTTGTTTTGTTTGTTTTGTTTTTTACAGGGTCTTGCTATGCAGTTCAGGCTGGCCATGAGTTCACTTTGTAGCCTAGGCTGGTCTGGAGCTCACAACAATCCTCCTGCCTCAGCCTCCCAAGTGCTACTAGGATTACAGGCATGTGCCACCACACCTGGCCTCAGCCCACTGTTTTGACTGGCATCTTTTTATATTCTCATTTTGTGATGTTCTCTTATCCCCTCTTCATGAGGTCCACAGAGACAGGTCCCTGTTTAACTGGTAAACCTCTCCCATCCTGTTAAGGAATCTGTCCACAGGTGAACATCTGCTTAGTGGCAGATGTAAGACTAGAATTCCAGGCTCTCGTGCCTTCTACACTACTACCTTCAACACTTGACTGAGTTTGTAAGTTACCATTAGGGGGTTATTAAAGTTCAAAACAATAAGAAAATTGTTGTACTTTTATATAACGGAATATTACTCAGCTAGAAAGAAAGATAAACTAGAGGCCTTTATAGGTAAATGGTTACAACTAGAGACCATACTCATAAGTGAAATAAATCAGACCCGCACGTGCAAGCACCGCATTGTTTCACTAGTGTAAAACCTGAAAGAGTTAATTTAAACTAGGAGGTATGATAGACATTGTAAAATGATAGGAAAGTACTCAAGGGTAAAGGGCAACTGGGATGTGGGTAAGAGAAGGGAAAGAAGGAGAAATTTTGTATGTATGTATACACAGGACAGTTAACATAGTTGTTCTACTGTGTTCTATTTTTTTGCTGAAAGAAACTGTTAATGAGTCCTTGATTGATCAATATTGCATGTCTGTATCTGTTTTCATGAGAAACAACTTTGAAGATATCAATATGTAATACAACAAGCATTGTTAATTTCCTACTTTGTTTGTAACTCTGTATTGTCTGTACTGTTCTTTTGCTATTTTGTAAAAGGTTGTCTATCTGTTAATGTTTTCCTCCTTTTATTTAAAAAAAAAGTTCAAAACAATTCTCTAGGGCCTTCAATCTGACTACAGGTCTGACAAAGTGAGACTGCCTTTGCACATCTATTCTTCTTATGTGGAGTCCTCATCTGCAATACCTCGTACTCCAGGTAAACATCCACACCGCCTTCAAAGCTCGTGTTAGTTCCTCTCTCCTGCACTGTCCCAGCCCTCCTTGTGCTAGTGCTGTATCTTTTTCAAACTTTTGCCATTTCACATATCACAATGCATTGTAAATGTGTGCATTTTTCTTTAATAAACTAGAATAATGAACTGTATTTTTTAAAAAATGTTGTGTTCCGGTCCTTTCTCCACAATGGCAATATCCAACAAGTGGTTACTCAGCAACACACGTGCCTAAATCTATTGGGAAAGGTGACTGGCAAATGAAAAACCACGGGGAGGAAAACTGGCACTGTGATCTTGGTCTGTTCATACATCTGAGGAATGAGTATTTGTGATATAATATTAAAGCTTAGTTTTGTAGAACATACTTTTCTTCTTGGAAAATGTCTTGTCACCAATGGCTTTTCATTCAAATATCAACGTGCGAAGTGTTCTAAGACGAAGCTGTTTACATTCTTTTCCTTCAGTAAAAGCCTTCCTGTACAGGAAGATGGAGGTGGAGGAGGTGGGAAGTAGGAGTGTTTTTCCACAAATACATAATTCGCGTAAGCTTATGTGGATGATCATTGAACTCAGTAGGGAAAGCCCACAGGAATGGAAATAAAGAAAGAGGCAGATACCAGATCAAGTAATTAGAGCGCCATACTGGGTAATATCTAGGACTGCTTCTACAAGGCAGTGTCACACATTTTGAAAGGACATTTGCTCTTTCTTCCCATGAGTGAGTGCTCATTAAGAACAAGGTACAAGATATTTCTGAAAGGAATGTTTTGCAAAGGTTTGGAAGAACATATGGTTCACTTTATACCATCTTCTGTGTTCCCCCGAAAAAAGTGAGATTTTTCCGTAGTTTTCAAATAACTCATAATAAATATAGAGAGAATAAAGCCCAACATAAAAAAAATCAAATTTACAGTTGAATGAACTATACCCCCTGTCTCATCCCTTTTGCAACACCCATCAAGGCAATTACCCTGGGAATATGTGTTACACTATTTCAAAGTCCTTGGGAAGTTTTACTACTCCAGTTTGGAACTCATGACAAACAGGATGCACACAAAATGCAGCATAAAGATGACCTTAACATCTTCAGTGAAGAGTCAACTTGTTTGTAGTTTTGATTTGCTTTTAATGACAAGCTCCTTCAACCAAAACTGATGAGTTGGTATGAGAACAAGGACACAAAAGGGGCCTTCCAAAACGCTAACCAAAGGATGATTTCTCTGCTTTGAGGGACAATGGTTTTACTCCTTGGAAGCCGGATATAAAAAGATGCAGATTACACAATGTGGCCTTAACATTGTGTTAAGATTGTCTTAACATTATATAATCTATAATCACATTGCATACTTTAAGTAAATGGAAATGCTACAGCATGCTGCGTTTGAAGGGCAATTTCACTGAGCACTGAATTGAAAGTATTCTTTGATATGGCACAAATAAAGCCTCTATAAGGTAAACACAAAAGCACTTTCCACACACTACTGCATTTTAAAATAGTTAAGTTTATTGTCAGCGAAAAGATAGGCACAAAATAGATTTAAACCTGCTTAACTTTATTGGAACTAGCTCTGCTGATTACAGAATGGGATCATAATCATTATGGGACCACGTATATTTTAAACTACAGATAATTTTTCTCTAGCCATCTGCCCACCCCAGCTATCCATTTTACACACACATGCCATTAATCACAAGAAACACCAGAAGGAGGTTTGATAGCTCCATGTAACCCTTCGTTGCTACCAGAATAAACACTCCTGACACTTGCCCTACCGATGATAGATGACACTTGAAAGATACATTTCCAAGGATCTTGATGGGCTGATATTGGTGACAATTAGCCCATAACTGATACCTTCCTTTGAAAACACTCAGTAAAATGACATACACTGCAAGTAATACATTCCATATGTAAATGGGCATTTGAGATAACACAAGATGGTTTGGCTAACATACATGAAGTTAGTGCATATGTATACACTTTAAGCTGCTGCAGTATTTAGGCTCTTCATTAAAAGTAGTTTGTACAATCAGCTTATTCATTTTCTAACTTATACCCACCCAACAGCATAACAAAAAGAGAACATGACATGTCCTTTGCTATGTTTCTTATGGCAGATGATGTCAAATATTTCAGATTCCTGCTGTCCCATCACCCTAAAGCTCAAAAGCAGCATTAAAATTAAATCCTTCATTAAGACAAAAATCAAGATACATGATTTTAAAAGAAAGTTCAAGCTACTTTTACTTCCAAAACATTAATAGAGGGGTTTTATATCAAGTAAAGGTCAATCTAATTAAGTTCTCCTATACATGGGACATTGGGGTACAACTGAACTAAAAGGTCCCCATAGACCACCAGGCAGTACAGGTTAAGACAACAAGGTTACCCTCCCGCCCTGAGGTGCCAGGAAAATGCATAGATAGATGGGAGTTCTGGAAGATCCCCCAAATATTACATCCACAGTTGCATAAGGGTGACTGACTTGAGATTTCCCCCATAAGCCTAAATTTTTGAAATACTTACTAAAGATTTTCTAAAAAGGTGGAATCTATCTTCTGTACAATAGGATATACTGGCATGATCGTCTCAGTTGCAAAATGTTAATTTAGCAAAATACCTAGGACTGAAAACTGAGCAGAGACAAATTGCCACTGGTATGGAAGGGCAGAGAAAATTCTGGAGAGTTCAAAATACTACTTAGGCAAGTATTTCTTCCTTCCCATAAAATTCATAAAGCCTAAGGAGATGGAGGTCACATGGTGTGGAATGTGTATTTGTCCCATTGCAGAATATGATTACAATCATGGCACTCAGAGTCAGCAAAAATTCTGGCAATGAAGTCTGGCAATGAAAGGTTTATTTTTATTTATTTGCTCAGATAAAAAGTAACGTCCTGAAGATTACTGTTTTTTTTTTTTAATTTTTTCTCCTTATGACTAAAGGTCATATGAATGAATATTAATACAACTGCATGCTGAGTTTCTACTTGGAATTCATTTGACAACTGAAGATCACTTCATTATTGAAAGTGTGAAAACACTGGCTAAAAATTGCATTGTTTTCCATCTTGCCCCCTCCCCAACACCAAATAATTCCTTTGGAAGATAATTAGAAACTACGAAAAAGTATTGGTAAATACACTATTCTTATATTCACAGGGGAACCCTGTAAGAAGACCCGAGGCACCCAGTCTCAGAGAGAGAAAGTGAAGTTGATTTCTTAGGTGGATATTTCATATGACTCAGTGTTGAAATGGGATAAGGAAAGGGAAAACCTTGTACAAGGCACTGCAATAGAGACAAAAGAGGAATTCATAACCCTGGACAAACTATTCAAGCCAGGGATACTTTGTAAGTACATGCAACCTGGACCATGAAGATGCCTTTTCTTAAAACAGGCTCTTCTTTTACCTCTAAAAGAGTTCCCCCCAAAAGGATGATAATTGGCTGAATAAACACATATGCTGTGTGATCTTGAGAAAGCTACTGACCCTCTCCAAGTCTCAGATTCCTCATTACTAAAATTAGGAGATAGGACTATATTGCTAAAATTCCTTCCTGCCACTATGGCTCATGACATAATCTATCAGGCTACTCATCTATTAATCTGGTTTCTAACTAACACATCCCTAAACCTCTAACCCTCCCTTACCTAACAACCCGCTTCCCTTCACCCTCCCTAAACACTTGGAAATTGATGCTAATGACACTATATGTGTATTTATCATTAAATGAAGGGGAAAGAAGTGACACAGGGCAAGGACCTGTGGCAATTTGCATCCCTCTGGGACACCTTGGAGGCAGCCCTATGGCAAGTCTTATGGCCCCAGCTTCCTTTGGTCCCTACCCACATGCATATTATCACTGCTTCCCAAAGGGATCCCAAGGTGGAATCACTGGTGATGAAAAGAGGTAGTTGAGGAGCCCGCTGCAATCAACCACTCCCTTGACTGCAGCACAGTACTTTGGACTTCTGATGCTACTCTCTTGGGGGTGCAGTCACATATGCCTTTTAAGACACCCTAAGAATTGGAGAAAATTAAATCAGAGGCGTTATTTTAAAGTAGTCACCAGAAATTCAAAGCATTCAACCTGTCAGCAAAAATGCTTCCTTGCTTTGCAAATTACTGGCCATTGGAGACTGGTGATGCAGCCTGTGAATGTACATCATAGAAGGAATAAACACTAAGCTGACTGAGCTCAGGAAAGGTAAGTGAGCTGTGCTCATGGCTACACCCAACTACAGAAGTCTGCATGTGGCCGCTCATGCAACTTTCGAACAAGGCCTACGATGTCTAACTCTCCAAGACAGAGGAAGTTATGCATCACTCAGTTAATTTACTTTCTTAGCATCTGAAAGCAATATATTAATTATCCAACTGCATAAATTACTCCAGAGTACATATATGAATGTATGAACCTCCAAGAGGGAACCAAAAGAATCCACTTCCAAAGCACCACTGAAATGAAGACAAACGCAGTCTATTGGGATGTGGGTAGCTGGCCGCTGGGAGGGAAAATTAGCTCCAGCACCCTTCCATATCCCAATACTCTCTACCTTTTCTCCAGCTTACACAGCTCTTAAACTATTTGCTTGCATGAGCCCATGGTGAGAGCTTTCTGTGGCTGCTGCCTAGATAGTAACTAGACACAGAGAACACACACTTAATCTCTCTCCGGCTCCCCACTTCCAAACTACATGTTACACACTGTATTCCACACATACTGTGCTCTTCAATAAAAATGATCTCAATAGAAAAATTGAAATAAATTTAAGCCCATTGAAAATATCAACGCATATCTACTTGTTAATTGTCCCAATATTTGTATAAATCCCAACAATAAACTTCAGAGCACATTCTGATTAATCTATCTTTTAGAGGTATTCTCTATGTATACCAGAATAGACTGGAGTTCATATGGTATTACTTAAGTATTATATTGTCCCAATAAAAATCCCTTTAAAAAACATCCCCTCCCCCAACCCTTGTCATCACTCTCAAAATAAGAACAAACAAAAGGGGAACATCATTAAAAGCATTCTTGCTGATAAACTGCAGCTCTTGACTGGGCCATTTAGATGAGATATTCTACCATCTCTGCATCAGGCTCTTGTCCCAGGATGTGGATAGCAGTTTTTCTTTCCAGAGTACTGCAGTGCAAAACAGGGCCATCTGAAAGAAAATGAGGGGTTAAAAAATACTTAAGGACAAGGTAAAAACCCATCTTTCTTCAAACACAGTGTTAGAACTCTCATGAATCCAATGGCAAGTGAGACTTGCCTGCTACCCTCTTCCCCACCCTGCATTGCTTTACTGGAAGAACAGTCTCTCGTACCTGTTTCTATCTCAGTGAATAAAAAGAAGTCATTTATAGACTCCTCTCTTTGACAAATCCCTTTGGAACATGAAAAACTCAGTCCAAATGAATAATTTTATCTAAATGGTAGGCACTAACAAATCTGTTTTTTTCTTTTTCTTTCTTTCTTTCTTTTCTTTCTTTTCTTTCTTTCTCTCTTTCTCTCTTTCTCTCTTTCTTTCCTTCTTTCTTTCTTTCTTTTTTCTCCCCCTGGTACTGGGAATTGATTCTCAGGACACTCAACTACTGAGTTACAACCCCAGACATTTTTATTTTGAGGCAGGGTCTCACCAAGTTGGCCAGGCTGACATCAAATTTACAATCCTGTGGCCTTGACCTCTTGAGTAGCTAGGATTACAGGGCATGGGCTATGATAGTCCAGCAAACAAATCTGTATTTGTGGGCAGAACCCAAAGCTGCCTTCTACAGAAAATAATTATTACCTGTGCTGTCTGGATTGCAGGTCAAACTTGGTACAGACAAATGGTATGTTCCAGAACCACTTGTTGCTGGAGTTGCAAGAGCCTCAACCTGAGCCAAAGCTGGAGCTGCAGCTAGAGTTGGAGTAGGAGTTACAACTGGAGCTGGAGTAGGAGGTGCAGCTGGAGCTGGAGTTGGTGCCTGAGTTTGAGCCTGAACGGAAGCCTGAGCCACTGCCGGAACTGGAATCGGAGCTGGAGCTAGAACTGGAGTCGGAGCAGCTGGAGCAACCTGAATAGCAGCAGCAGCAGCAGCAGCAGGAGCAGGAGCAACAGCAGCAGATGCAGAAGCTGGAATCTGAGCAGCAGCAGCTGGAGAAACAGCAGCAGCAATAGCAGCAACAGTTGCTGGAGATGGAGCAGCAGCAACAGCAGCGGCAGCAGCTGGAGTAACAGCAACTGGAGCAGCAGCTACCACAGTGATGGTGTTGGTAGCTGCACTGGCAGTGTTGGTGGCAGCAGTGACAGTGATGGGGGCAGCAGTGGCGGCGGCAGCAACTGGAGCAGGAACAGAGAGGGGAGCAACAGCTGCTGTTTTGTTGGGTTCCGTTCCACGTTCAGTTTGAGTGCTGCAGTCTCGGCTGCCTGTCTTGGAGTGAGCTGAGAGCAGGGGAGTCGAGGGAGGCACAGGCGAAGGAGTGGATGACACAGACTCTACACGGTAGTCTCCACCCAGGAGAATACCTACAAATGAAGGAGGAAAAAAGGGCAGAAACCAATAAGTGATTCCAATCTAGACACCTGAGTGGCTATTATCCCTTGTAGAAGTTCAGGAGTAATTTGAATGGCTCTCAATTCTTTACTTTTGTCTCCACTGAACCAAGAATCATGTACTTCCCACCATGCTAAAAGTTGCTTTGAAACTTGAAAGATCCCTTCTGGTCCTCATTATTCAAATCCCAGAAGTACATATTAAAGCTTTAAGTGTCCTCAGTATCTGTTTTATTTTTTCAATGATGGGTGAGCTCCACTGGATTGTCAGAATTTTTCTATTTGCTTCCAGCTATAAACACCACCAAACATTACCAGAGAGTTACTGAGGATTACGAGTGGGTGAAGAAGTCTGTGGACACATGGGTATGCTAATAACTGTGGAATCAGGCCTTCCAATCATGTCCATTGTTCCCCTAAATGTTTTTTCTAACAAAAGGACACTAAAACTACCAAGAAAGGTATTAAAGATAACAAAAGAGCTAAAATAAAATTATATACACACACACATATATAGCATGCTTCCTCAGACTCTAAAAATGTGCCTCATAATATCTACAGTGTTCCTTGAGGTTTTGATTAAAGGGGACAAAATGGACAAGAATGTAATAAAAGAGTACACTCTGTTCTAATATCATAATAGTCTGGTAGCAAAACCTTGCCACTAGGCTCCACTTATCTTAATGCTGGAATTTTAAAATTTTGAATAGCATGAATGCTTACATGGGCTTTGGACAAAGGTCCCACATGGCAAAGGCCAAATCTGAGAAAATCGCTTTTAAAATTTATCTTCCTTTGTGCCCAAATAGAACTTGAGATTCTTGTTTTTTTGGAGCTTTGGCCTCAATGTTCTCACCATGAGACCTCACAGGCCGGAAGAGCTCCTGGATATGAAGCTAGCCCCTCAGAAGGACAAAAACCTAATCTGGCACATTTTTCTCTCTAGAATCTGGACCACTGTCCCATTTCTTTGCTGGGTGGGACACTTTAAATGAGTCACTATGATCTTCCCCTGGCTGCAAATTACCTAGGCTCCCCTTCCAGCTCTTGTCATCTCTCTTCTCTTCCATGATGGGCACTCCAGTCAGGGTGGATGAGTGAGACAGCAAGCCTGAGCTGGCATTAGAAATGGACATCAGAGACTTCGCTGGCCGCATGGACGACAACTGTTCTGTCTTACTCGGTTCCTTCCGGGAGCGTTGCTGGAGTACTTTGATCATAGCATCCTTCTCAATGATCTGAGCATGGAGGGTCTTGATCCTAGGAGCCAAAGGCAAAGAGCATATGGAAAGTTTAATGCTATCTCTGTGACAGTAGAACTCTTCAACTACATAGTGGTTTGACTTGAAGACAATGAATTTTGCCACAGGTTTTTAAAAATGTCCTTCTGTCCACCCAAATGGATACAACAGAGCATCCAGGAGATGCTGCTTTCACCTTACAAGGTCAAAATAAAGTCTTAGCACAAAGAAAGGATGTATATGAGGGAAGCAACCTCTGAATGCTCCACCACCTTCAAGTAGTAAGCCAACGATCCTGAGCTTCAGGTGCCCCACCTTCCAATGTGAATGGATGAGAAACTCACCGTATCAGACTTAAGAGTTAAGAGACAATTCTAGAAAGAGTTAAGAGATAGTTCTAGAAAGAATGCACCACTGTAAAAATGTCACCAGTGCAGCTCGTTCAGATGGTAAATGAGAAGCAGGTTGGAAGGCCAGTGAACAGCAACTCTATTTGGAATTTTACAATGGAAATGATCAAGGTAAGGGTTGACATATCTCAAACACCAACAGGCTGGCAGGAGTGAAGGTGGTGGGGGAAGCCTGCGTGATTTGGTTCCCCAGTTTAGCATAAAGATGCTGGTCCTTTCCTACTGGCCTATCTGGCCTCTATACCATCTTTTCAGATCCACCAGCATGCAGATCAACATTTTACCTGCCCTCCATGTCCAGACAACGCTTGTTGGCCATCAAGATTTCTTCCTCCTCTTTCTGGATGCGAGCTTCCAGAGCTGTGTCATAACTTGTGTTCAGAGAGTGGCTGATGACTGTTGTATCCCTGGGGAGGACAGCAGTGATAAGGATGGGCAGACAACAAAATCAATTAATCCTATCCTCCCTCCTAAATCAAAGGAGGCTTTTCTAGAAGACTATAGGCAGAAATCAATCTTGTTAGGAATGGCTGGTTTCTCGGTGATTTACTGGTAAAAGCTTCCAAAATAGGAAGGTTCAGCTTGCAGTGTAGAAGAGTTATTGGCATGAATATGACTATAAAAGGACTCTATGGAATGTGCAGAACTGGACAGACATCTTCCTCAAACTTTCTGGCAGATAGTCCTTTGAATTTTTAGATCATGACCAAGCAATAGGAATACGTACATATTTACTTTATTCTCACGACAGTCATGGAGGGAAAAGATAGATTTTGAAAGAATCAGAGGGCTACTAAGTAGTTTATTGTGACAAACTGATATCAGTAACTACACCTGAGCACATGAAACAAACAATAGACACGTGAACAGCTAAGATTAGGTTGGTCATGTGAGCTGAAAAATAGTGGCACTACCCAGTGCCGCTCCATTCCTTATCCAACCTACATCAGAAATATTCTAGCACCAATCAATGAATCTATGCTAACTACTCTAAGTGATTACTCTCTTGATAGAGTCTCAACTGTATAACAGGCCACCATGTCCCATCTGAAAGTGTCTCAGGTAGAAAAAAATAAAACAGTGTCCCAGGCTATTAGCTCAAAGATACAATTAATAAGGAAAAATGTGTGTGTGCATAATGGAAAGACAGAGATAGAAAGGGACAGGCAGAGATGAAAAGAGGGAGAGACAGGTATTGAGATTAAGGAGAGTATTGATGAAATTACATAGGTCTCCAGGAAATAACACAATACACTGTGAACAACGAACTGACCCTGCTTCACTGTACTTCCTACGAGAATGAGACGCTGTTGGAGAACTCCAGGCACATTTTGCTCTAGAATATAACCATGTTCTCTCAGCTTCAAGACTGTGACCAATGCCAATGGCAGTGAAGTGGGCAAGGAACAAACAGGTGGAAAGCTGACGTGAAGGATGGGGAAATTTTGCTGAGCCTCTGGAAAACCACTGCTCTCCCAAACACTAGTACTTTATATGCACGGCCGAAACCATTTACTGGGATGAAGAAATAACAAGAGCAAAGAGGGGGAAGGATACAATTGGCCTTGTCATTTGCTAGATTTTGTCAATATTTGTCAAAATATTTTTAACACATAAGAATTCTATACCTAGTCTAGTGTAGTTCACTTGTTTGTAGTCCTTTTGGATACTCCAGGAGGAAACACTTCATGGTGCTTGAAAGCAGGCTCTGACTATTGACAATACCAGGTCAAGTCCTGGTTTCCAAGGGTTCTTTCACTAACAGGCTTTTTAACCTCAAAAAGTCAGTACCTTGCTCTAAGCCTCCATCTCCTCTTATGCAGAATGTGAATCTTAATTCCATCTTCATTTCATGAGGAGAAAAAACCAAATGTGTGCATGTAGAAACAAGTAGCATCAGGCACAGGACAAGCACGCAACAAAGGCATTTATTATTAAGGAAGAGGCACATAGAGGGGACAATATTATTCATGAGAGGACGGCTTAGAAGAATGCCAGCCCTCGGTATAATCCTGGAAGTGGTTCCTGCACTGCAGAGTGCCAATGTGAACTAATGGCCGAGGCTTTAGAACCAGGCCTCTTGACAAGTGCATGGTGTCTATGGTTACTGGGTCTGGAACGTACGGTTTATCACTGGGGGAACTGGTGCTGGCCTACTGCCACTTTCTTTGCATAAAAGCCCATTTTGGGTACACAGAGCCCTGCCAGCTAATTGATATGGACACTGTGAACTCCTCAGGAATGGAGTCTGTGAATATGGGGCACTCAATGAATTCCTACAGTGCTGCCAGGATAGCCTTCAGCATCAATCTTCCTTTTAGAAGACTAGAGTTACTAAGCCAATGGCTTAGGAGCAAGCAAGCACAGTGTTTGATGGAGCAACTTCTAATAGCCTCAGACTATCCTTCAGAGCATCAAAAGAGAGATACTGGCTACAGTCTGAAAACAGCCTGCAAACTCTGAACTGCATATCCCGAATTTGCCATTTCTCCCATCTCAAATTCTTAAGGAAACAATTTCTTCAATGCCCCTCAGTCATCTTCTCTCTCCTTCCTTTCTCAGATTAAGTTATTCCAAGCATAGCACTCAAATTCCTCTCTAGGTCACCATGACCTGCTAGTTAAAATACCTATTGGCCATTTAAAATTTAATTTCATCTTTTCTATGGGCAGCATCCTTTTATTTACTTAGTACATGAACTCTACTACAAGGGAAGCACTATGCTTCAGATTACCAGGAGAGGCAGAGTGGTGAGACCAGTCCACAACTGAAGGAGGCTTACAAGGAAGACAAAATAATTAACCACCATAGGAAAGAGTTCGGACTTATATTCCAAAAGACATTGAAAATTGGGACTGGGGATTTAGCTCAGTGGCACAGCTCCTGCCTGACAAGCACAAGGTCATGAGTTCAATTCCCGGTACCAGAAAAAAAAATAAAAAACAAAAAAAAACCAAAAAAAAAAAAAATTAAAAAAGGGACTGGGGATTTAGCTCAGTGGCACAGCTCCTGCCTGACAAGCACAAGGTCATGAGTTCAATTCCCGGTACCAGAAAAAAAAACAAAACAAAAAAAAAAAACAAACAAAAAAAAAAGAAAATTATTAGAATGCTTCTTTCTTTCTTTCTTTCTTTTTTTTTTTTGAGACAGGGTCTTTCCATAGCTCAACCTGCCCTTGAACTCACTATGTAGTCCAGGTTGGCCTCACCATAAACCTCCTGCCTCAGCCTCCTGAGTGCTGAGATTATAGGCATGTGCCACCACGCCCAGTAGAACTTTTTAAGGGGAGTGACATGATCTGCACTGGGCTTTGGTACTTTAGGACTATCTCTTGCTGCAGTGGGATGGAGTGTTTAAACGAGAGAGACACTGGAATCAGGTAGACCAGTAGAGGAGCTGATTGTAACAATCCCAGCAAGAGATAACGAATACATGAACTAGTGAAGTGGGAACAGGCTGTAAGAGGTACAACTGATAAAACTTGGGAACTAATTCAGTGCAAGTGGTAGGGAAAGGAAGGAAAGAATGGGAACTTTATTATATCAAATTCAAATGGCTAAGGAAAATGGCATAGCATTTGCTGTCACAGGAAATGATGGAGATGAGGTTTGGAAAGTGCTGTGATGGTTTTTGGTTTTAGGTACACTGGAGTGAAAGTGTCTTCAAAATAGTCATTTGACAATATCTAACAAGTTGTTGGAGCTTCTAAATTTAATATTAGAGACATTAGAATCACTAATACCCAATCACTATCTTGTTTTTATTACAGAGACGCTATAACAGAGGATAAGATAACTAAGATTGGAGAATGAGAAGAAAGCAGAGGACGGAACCGAGAGATGCCAACAAGGAAGGAACACACAGCCACGTGTAACATATGCACTTCTAACACCTTGCTCCTTTTCTTTATTTTGTCCTATCCCAGATTTACTTCGGCCAAAATAGAAATGAAACACTTAAGTTCAGAGAAAGGTAACAAATTGAATTGACTCAGTAAATGCAAAATCATAAACTACATGGTTAACTGGGTGTGTTATCCTGTGATCCTTTTGCTGCTCTTCCAAGTTAAATTCACTGTTTGTAAGCTGAAACTCAAAATCTGCATTGCCAAATTGGGTCTCCTGTGATTGAACAGAGATTCTTACTTGGTAATGATATACATTAAGCATCTAGAGGAGACTCTCGAGGGACACAGCAACATGGAGCTGTAATGTAGACAATGTTATCTCATTATTTATAAGATTTCGAAGTGAGCCTCAAATAACATCTTACTGAACAGCTAATTATCCCTATTTTGTCATCCTTGAGGCCCACCATGTTTTACAGGCAGCAGAGTATACCAACTAAGTTGACAAAAATGGAGATTTAAATCCTGGTTCTTGTGCCTTTTAGTAGTCATGTATGATCTTGGGCAAATTACTGAACTCCTCCATGCTCAGTGTTCACCTTTGCAATACCTCAAATTATTGTGAAGATAAATAATAAGTGTAAAGTGCTAAGAGCACCTTGTATATTAAGCACTACATCTTTGAGAAACTTCCCATCATCCCTTTAAACAAAGGAAATAATTTAAGTACCAAATACACATCTGAAATAAGCGAAAATTCCCTGATTTACAGATTTACTGGTTACTTCTTCTGTCTTTTTCCCTCATTGCCCCGCCCCCGCTTAACTTTTCATCAAGTTCTAAGCATATAACTGACCAATATCATAGAGTTGGTGCATCTGATACCTAGGTGCACCTCCGGATGAAGGCAATGTCAGTACGCTGCATTTCAATGAAATGCCCATTCTTAAATCCTCTATGGTCAAACCTAACTCTTCACACCCCAATCCTGCCTGAAATCATTAGCCCAACAGCTTTCTGAAATCATTAGGTCAACAGCTTTCCCTTTGACAAGAGGTGCTCCAGGGAATCCAGGCACATAAAGGGGTATAAACAGGCCACCTTATATGCCTTCTCACTCAAGAAATTTGTCTTTCCTTATGCTAAAATCTGTGTTTTATTATTAACAATGACCCTAAACTGGAAACAACCCAAACATCCATCATCAGGTGAGTAGGTGCACTACTAAGTAATAAAAAGGAATAAACTATTAATACAACCATTCAGCTTGGGTGGAGCTCAAAGTCATTATGCTGAGTGCAAGAAGTCAAATAAAAAGGGTAAGCACAATATGAGCCCTTTCATATGACATTCTAGGAAAAACACAACTTTGTGGCATAAATCATATCAGTCACTTCCTAGAGAGGAAGGGATCAAGTTCAAGGAACATAAGGACACTTTAGAATGTGTTTTCTACCTTGACTGCACTGGTAGCTACAATGTTATATTCAATTATCAACATTAATCAAACTGTACACTTAAAAGAGGACTTTTTAAAAGTGTAACTAATACTGTGCTTGAATTGAAAAAACTTACTTTGTCCTTTACAAGTAATACTGATATCACTCGAGAAAGATGTCCTAATAGAGAAAACTGTCATTTACCTGTGAGCTATTAGTAGGTCTGGAATATATTAAGTTTCAGACACCAGCAGAATACAAAGAAATCAAGCAGGCCATTAAAATGTACCACCAAATCTAGGAATATAAGTTATATACTTCAAAATCATTTCCCTCTTTTACTGCTTTCTCTTTTTTTACTTACGTTCTTCCTTACATAAATTTTTAGTACTATCTGCAACCAATAGCATAGGCACTTACAATTATTTTGAAAGAAAAGAAAATTAAAGATTTTACCCCCAAAAAGGGACAAAAGGCAGAACCTGGGTTAATACTTACATTTACAGTCAGGAGGAGGAAGAAAGTAACCAAAGGAAAAGGGATGGAAATAGAAGTTGGAAAGAAAAGTAGAAGATCCTATAGATTCTAAAGTTACCTTTTCTGAATACTATCTCCCAAATCTGTGATCTTATAAAGAAAGAAAAGAGAAAAGTGAACCAAACACCATGGCAAAGCAAAAGAGGTACTTACTATCTTTGGAAATATAGTACAATCCTAGAATGGAAGGGGATGAAGAACCACCTAGTCCAATTCTCCCATTTTATAAGAATGAGAATCCTATCTCTCAGTCTCTTCTGTGGGGTGGATCAATAGCATACAAAAAAGGTGCACAGTCCATATCTGGAACATTTGCCTGTGGAATTACTAGGAAGTGCCCCTACTAAATTAGACCCGGCTATGGTTTTATCATATTAAATAATAAGCATGAATATTTTGCTGAAAACAGTGATTAAACAAAAAAAATTTACTTGGCTATTTAAGGGAATTCATTGTCAATTAAATTTACCTTATGGGAGCAAACAGATTCTGGATATCCATATGAAACAAGGTTCCCCTAAATCTCAAAGCTTTATATATGAAGGAAGGAAGGGAGGAATAATTGTTCTTAAAGTATCCAAGATGAAATAAGTCAGTTAAAATCGCTAAATACTGACGCATTCATGTAGCTGCGTTCATTGTGTGGGTTCTCCATGTCACTTTTTTCTCCTCATAAATACTGTCAAGTCAGTTCAACCAGTGTTGACATTACCAGAACAGGCACCGAGAGAGTATGGTTGCTCACAGAGAGGACACACAAAGGATCGCAGTCAACAGCAGAAGTGCAGTGAAGCTTGAGGTGCCAGGGCACCTGCAGCCTCCTGATTCTAGCTGGGGAATGCTGAGAATGGCAGGAAGACGGGGCTGAGATCATGACAATGGAATTAACCTTTTCCAGAGGGAGAGTTCCTATAGTTACCGGAGGTGAGCCACAGGTGGGGCTGGGTATGAGGATCTGCCAAGCCAGGGACCTGGTATACACAGAGTATTCTCAGTGTTTGTAATGGTTGATACACTGCGTCAACTTGAGAAGTCTAGAAGCCTAATTAAGTAAGTCAGCATCCCACATCCTGGGGTAGAGGACATGCCCTTATCACTCTAGGATGTTGTTCATTGTGTTAACTTGCGACTCAGCAGGGAGCCAGGGTCTTCACTTTGTAAACTTCCTGAGCCTGTGCAAGAGGAGAGCACCTAAATAGCATGAGTGCTACACCCATGGAAAGAAGGAAAGAATAGTTTCTTTATGTAAGACTCTACTGAGTGGCAAGCCCTTCCCTAGCTTTCTTGCATTTTGACCTGGAGTCTATCACAATGCTAAGTGAAATAAACCAGACACAGAAGGTTAAATGTCCCATGGCTTATATGTGAAACCCAAGTTCTATAATGAACAAAATAAAAGATGGATAGTAGGAAACAATAAGGTAGATTTCGTGAAGATGGGAAGGGAATAAGAAAGGGGGACGGGAGAGACTAAGAGAAGTAGAAAGGATCAAGCTGTGGTAGGTATAGCACCAATTCCTCACCAAGAATGTATTATGTATTACGGACATATATCAATAACAAAGAGGGGGAAACTCAAAAAAATAAGTTAGCACTGCCAACCCCTGCTTTCTAATATTTGCCCACACTGCACATTCATGGAGCTGTACTTTTCTTAGGCTTCTGCCTGGGTTGTATCTTTCTAAGCTTCTTACTTTGCTTTTCCCAATAATAACAGTGTATTCACCTTAGGGTTTCAGGAATAACCTCTGAACAAGTGCTGGGCACAAGTGTTTCCTTGGTAACAGCCAGCAGGTAAAATGACACTTCATTCTGATTGGAACCTGCCTATAAACCTTGTGACCATTTTCCGGTACAGCTGGGCTTTCTGTGCTCTCTAGTCCCACGCTGGCATGTACTGAACAGGCCTTTCTCGGGAAACAGAGCCATCAAGCTTCACCCTACAAAGATCTTAACATCAAGCCACAAGCAGTTGCAATCTAGTAAAGAGAGAGGAGCTATGTAGAGACAGGCTGATCACATGAAAACAATGTCCGGTGTCTTCCTAGAGAATCAAGAATGAGTTTCTAAAGCTCCAGTCCAGCTCATTTTTTTGCCAGTACAGGGAATTGGACCCAAGAACACTCTGCCACTTAGACTACATCTGCAGCCCTTTCGGTTTTCTTGAGACAGGGTCTCACTAAGTTACCAAGTTGCCCACGTTGGGCTCAAACTTGTGATCATCCTGTCTCAGCCTCCTGAGTAGCTGAGATTACAAGAGTGCACCACAATAGCTGGATACCGGCCCCGCTCTTAAGCACCAAACTTCAGATCTGATATGGCATTAGGGTTAAAATTAAATGTATCCACTGCCTCCTCCAAACACATACCCGAACCAAAGTCTAGTGAGCACTTCTAGGCTCCACTGGCTTACCCTGTTTGGCATAATGTTAAAAATAACATTGATTTTTAATAACTTTCTGGATAGAAACCTATCTGCGTGCAATATGCCACTAGCCTACCTTTGACAACCAACCAAGGCCAACATTTTGTCTGTTATCACCACAACCCAAGTCATTGCCTGCTTGTTTTTGGTTGTTTCTTTATTCCTTTCTGATGGTTATGAACAGTGAGACAAACAGGGGAAAAGCAACTGTTTCTTCCAAAGGCCAACCATTAACTTTTATAATATATAAAGAGGGACAAATAAGAAACAAAAAAATAAGAAAATCTTCCCACCACTTTCTCTCTTGTACCAGATGGAATGAGGCTGCTTACATGTGATGAGCTCAGGCACACAGAGAATATGGCCTTCAAATATAGATCTTCTCAAAGGGCAGGGATGGACTCATGTTCAACACACCTTTTGACATGAGCCAGAGCTATCACATGGCAGCAGACATGCCTGAGTGAAACTGAGTTTCTGAGTGGCATTTCTTTGGAGGGGCTTTCACTCTAGTCCTCAGGATAAACAATATGCACATGATGCCAAAAGAATTTGCAGCTCTGGAGAAGGAGGTGTGCAAATATTCAGCCCATTTGCAATTACTGTGGCTACCAAAGCAGGTTCAGCTGAGATTCCAGCAAGTCCATAAGCAAGTTGAATTTTCAAGCCCTTGACCATCTGTTCCCACAGCCATTCCATTCCCACATAAGTAGATGAATAATAAAAGATGGACAGGAGACAAGGGGATGCATGTCTTGCGAATGGGAAGGGTCCCAAGAAACCAAGGGCAAGGAGTAAGAGAAAGCGGAAAACGAAATAAGTGGCATAAAGTTATGCCATGTGCAGGAGCCTAATATCCTTGGTGAATGTAAACACCATGTGCCATAAACATGTGGTAGGATGAATAATATCAACAAGAAAAGAAATGGGGAAAGGGGAATTAAAGGAGGAGGGACTGGGGGAGGGAAAGGAAAGGGTATTAAAAAAACAAGTTGTATTAGGTACATGTACCTACTCCCCAAGATGATTGCAAACTGCACGTACCGTGAATATGTACTAATAAGTAAATAAGGAAACCATGTTTACTCGTAAACTTCAGAAAACACATTAAAGAAAATGAAATGTTGGAAAATGTATGAATCATTTCCATTGTCTGTACTCCCCACTCCCGCTTTCCCAGCCAGCTACTTACCTCTGAGCAGCCACAGTTGCAGCGGCATCCAGAGCAAAATGTCTCATCACATTCTCTTCCAAATACTTCTGCTCCCACTTTGTCATGTCAGCTTCCAGGGCCAGAATCCTCTCTTCCTTTTCTCTCAGGAGCTCCATCAGTGCAGCAGCATTGTACTCTGAAATGTTGGTGGGTTGAGCGCTCCCCTGGCGCTGTTGAGGGAGATACAAAGACCTCTGAGTTTAATGAGAGAATCACCATCATTGTCTGAGCCCAATTTAAAGGGCCCTGATTTTATAGGAAGGTAATAAGGGAGCATTGCCCAAGGTATATCAGGTTGGACTCCTTTTTTTTGGCAGTACTTGGATTCAAATCCGGGGCCCCAGGCATGGTAGGCAAGTGCTCTACCCTGGAGCTGCACCCTCACCTCCTAGTTTGGCTTCTGATTCAGAAAGAAACGAAGAAATGTAGGTCTCGTCCTAAAGCCACAGGACTAGAATTGAGTATGAGATTCCCTTTGTCAGATAAAGAGCTTGCCACACCAAATTGCCATGTTGCTCAGAAAATGGATCAATGGGATAAAAACGATTGCATCTGTGAAATGGGAAGTTTAAAAATCTAGAATTCAGTTCCTAACTTGTATGCTCTTTAGTGAGTCACACAACCTTTCCTGAGTCTTCATATTTCTCTCTTCCTGAGAAGAGGTAGAGTCACATGTTTTCTAAAGATGATTTCCAATTCTAAAATGTTGCTGAGGATACAGCCCAGTGGCAGAGTACTAGCCTAACATGCGGTAAGCCCTGGATTCAATCTCCAGCACTACAAACAGATACAATTTTAAAATGTCTAAGAGTCTATTTGTATAGCTGCTTTATTTCTTATATGACCTACAGTTTTGAATCCTATGAAAATAAAAAGTGAAGATCATAAGCATTAATGGTTTGGGTGGGATAGAAACCTAAAACAGTAGTCTTTGTATTTACAATGGGAAAAGCAGTCTGGCATAAAATGAGATAGGGCAAAAAGTGTAAGGATGAACATACATTTGTTTTCTGTCCATGCCAAATACAAAGTGAAAAATGAGTATCCAGGAATCATCCTCCCTCCCTCTCTCCTTCCCTCCTTCCCTTTCCCTTCCTCACTGCCCTTCTTTTCCCTGCCTCCCTTTAATTTCTCCATACCTGCTGGATTCTGAGAGACTCCAGCTCCCTCTCCAGTCTTGTCCGGAGACGATGCTCTAGCTGCTCCCGTTTCTCACATGCCGCCTGCAGCTGTACAAGGGCCTGCTGCATCTTCTCCACCTTATCTACGTACACCTGCTTCTTTTTCAACTAGAAACCCAGTTGGGAGATTTGCAGATGGAAAGAAAGAAAGCAACACAGTCACTTACACACACCCCGATCTAGCCTTGTGTTTAGAAACCATCCTGTCCTATGTTGCCTTGTATTTCTCATACACAGAATGTGAAGAGAGAAAGGAATTAAGAACCAACCCCTCTTTAATCTCTTTGTCCTGCCCAAACTCTGTGTCTTCCCTAAGTCTACCCTGTTCAGAATGGTGTTTTAGAGAGCAAGCTTTTCAGATTTCCCCTTATAGATGTCTTCACCTCTGTTCTTCACTCTAAACTTGAGTATTTTTTTGGCAGGGGAGTATATCTTATTTTAGTTGTTATAGTACAAAAATGCTATAGAGAGGGGAAAGGGGCTTTCCAGGGAGAAAGATTTAACTTTGTCTGAAAAGGGAGCCCATCCTTTCTTGTATAGCTGTCTGCTTTCCAGTTGGGAGAAAAAGAGTAGGCAACTGATGAAGGTACAAGGAGGCCAGAATTGTCTATTTGAAGTCTGATCCTGGTAATTACCCAATATAATCCATCATTGCCCACCTGGAAAGTTTCTTCTGCTTCTCAAAGCAGAAGTTGCCATGCAATGGTTCAGGTCACTGACCCACTTGTTTTTTTTGTTTGTTTGGTTTTTTTTGTTTGTTTTTTCTCCAGTACCAGGAACTGACCCACTTGTTTTTAACTAAAAGGTCACATGCTGTGTGTGGTTTGTATCTCACAAGCCCAAGTCCATGACTTTGGACTACTGTCTCCCAACTCTATTCTGGGACCTTCAAAGATCCCTATAGTCTCAAATGAAACAATTACATGTAAGATTCAGTGAGTTCAACATGATTTTTCCTCTTTGCAAGCCTATGAGCCTTATCCCAAAGCAAAAAGTGAAAGCAGGTTAGGAATAAGAATGTGAGTTATTTGTAACCATATAACTTACAAAGCCAAATCTTGGTTCCACAGGAATGAAGGAATGAAGAGGCTCTCAGAGCTCTTTAAAGAAGATACACATATCCTCAATACCCAAGAAGACAGGGGAAAAGGCAATCTTCCCACCTTATTAGCAAAAGAATAGATTCTGATTCTCAGAGTGAGGGCCCTCTCAGAGCTAAGAAATCAACCTGTAAACTCTTTCTAAAGCAGAAATTCTTCCAAGTGGGGCATACGTGTCATTATAATCCCCACAGAGAATGCAGACTGGTGAAACCACTGTGGAAATCAGTTTGGAGATTCCTCTGAAAACTAGGTTTGGAGGTCCCATTCAACCCAGCTATCCCCCTGCTGGGTATTTTCCCAGAAGATCTAAAAACATCATATCACAGTGATATATGTGCACCTATGTTCATAGCAGCACAATTTGTAATTGCTAAACTGTGGAAGCAACCCAAATGTCCATCCACCGAGGATTGGATAAGAAAATTGTGGTACTTTTATATAATGGAATATTACTCAGCTATAAAGAAAGATAAACTTGAGACCTTTATATTTAAATGGTCACAACTAGAGACCATACTCATAAGTGAAATAAATCAAACATACATGTGCAAGCACCGCATTGTTTCACTAGTGTAAATCTTGAAAGAGTTAATTCAAACTCGGAGGTATGATAGACACTGTGAAGTGATAGGAAACTGCTGAAGAGTAAAGGGCAACTGGGATGTGGGAAAAGAGAAGGGAAAGAAGGAGAAATTTTGTATGTATGTATATACATGACAGTTAACATGGTTGTTCTTCTGTCTTCTATTTCTATGCTGAAAGAAACTGTCAATGAGTCTTTGGTTGACCAGTATTGCATGTCTCTATCTGTTTTCATGAGAAGCCACTTTGAAGATATCAATATGTAATACAACCATTGTTAATTCCCTACCACTTTGTTTGTAACTCTGTATTGTCTGTACTGTGCTTGTGATATGTTGTAAAATGTTGTATGTCTGTTAATGTTTCCCTCCTTTTATCTTTAAAATAAAAAATATATATATGTAATCCCCACAGAAGCAAAGGCTAGGGATACTACCACTGTTAGATTAAAACTGAAACTATTACTGATGCACTGGTTTAGGAGAAATTCTGGAATTCAGCTCTGACTTTTCAATAAATCCCAAGACTTTGAGCTACCTAGACAGACAACTGCGCTGTAAGAAGTTACTGTAAGAAGTTACCTACGTTAGCACAGTCGGCCACACCCATTTAGCTGGGGCCAAGCCAACAGGATCAGCGTGACTCTGCCATTGCAGAAAACAGGTAACTCCATCATGACAGTGAGTCCAAATCACTGCTTTCTAGAACTTCCAGTGAGATGGCACTGGCATGTACAGGTAGGGAAATGTTTCTTGTCTTAGAATTGCCCCTATTCCCAAAAAATCTTGCTAAACTTTATCCAGGTAGAAGGAAACCTATCTTATATTTTCCCACCAGGCCTGTGGCATGTTTTGGCTAGGTAACTGGAAAATACAAACTTAAAAAAAAAAATTTCTACTTGCCATTTCATTTCATTTCATTTCACTCTTGACCTGGTTTCTAGCCTTATAAACCAGTTGAGGCAAACTCTAGGACTAGATGTTTTTATCCAATAGATTTTTTCCAAGGAAATGTAACAAACAAAAAATCATCACATGCTTTCTCTCAATGAGCTTAAATCTTTCTTCCCTGGGGTATGTGACTATTGGTTAACAATACTAACTAGGGCAACCAAAACTTAAGGGTCATGGATGTCTCTGCCTTTCCATTTTGCTAAGCTTTGAACAATTGGAGAGTAGGAAATATTCTCCATCCTTCACCTTTGGGGTTCTATAATCCTCATGAGCTATTTAAAGTTGAATGCATTTATTCATGAATCACTCTGGAAAGCCTGCAGGAGCAGTGCAATGTTAATGCAGAGAATGTTAACTATAATTACAAAGGCTTACAGCAGTTATACTTAAAGGCAATTAAACTTAGCATGCAGTTCTTGCCTGGACGGTAAAGTACTGAGATGTATGCTTAGAATACTTAAAAATATGCAGTCCAAGGCCAGGTGTATTTCTCCAACCCCCACTGCCTGTTTTGCAAAAGGACATGTAAATATTTTAGCAAAAATACTCCTTAGCAAGAGAAATCACTAGGCCAACTTCTCGGAAGGCAAAAAGGCCCAGGAAGTTCTCAGAATTGGCTGAAGACAGGCATGCAGGTTAGTTAAATTCCACAAAGCGGGCCAAGAAAATTCTATTACAGTTTCCCACTGGGATGATTTTCCCTATGGTGCCATGACCAGCGTAGCAATAATTATTCTACCTCCTTTAACCACAAAAAGAGTATAGCTCACCCACAAGCACCACAATTATCTAGTAAATGCTTCATCCCTAGATCTAAAGTTAGTACACGAAAGGACACTCTTGGATGCAACCAATACAAGATATTATAGGCGCAGTCAAGAAAGCCAGCCATCTTCTAGGTTGCAGATTTTTTTTCTAGGCTTCACATACACATAGAAAGGGAAAAATATCAATCTGGTTTAATACTACTGTTATCCTGCATTTTATTCTTCACCTTTTACCTTCATCATGATGAATCCTTTTTCTTCTCTCCCTCTCCTTTACCAATTTATCTCTGGTACTGAGATTTCAAGTATTAGATCAGTAACTGGCACAGCCCAAGTTCTCCTCCCAGTGCCATCAGAAATGTTAGTGTTTCCTTCTTTTATAAAGAGAAAGGCCGTACAGTAAGATGTTTAGTCATCAGTTCTAGCTTCTGATTGCCCAAGTCCAAACCCTGGCTTTCCAACTCACTAGCTACACAACCCAAGGCAAAGTTACTTTAATCTATCAGAGCTCCTTTTTCAGTTTCTCCCCCGAGCTTGCATTTACTCATGCATCAGGAACATGGAGATAATGATAACGTACTGTACCTCTATAAGGATCAAATGAGATAAAACATGAAGTGCTTAGTAGAGCTCCCGATACAAAAAGTACTCAGATTGTTTTTCTGTTTCTCTCTCTCTCTCTCTCTCCCTCTCTCTCTCTCTCTCCCTCACACACACACACACACACACACACACACACACACCCAAAATTTTCATTAGATAATGCAGTGAAAGGTAAAGAAACAAGATGGAAATCAGGAGACTGGGGTTCCAGGCCTAGCTTCACTGTTAGTGGTAACTTGCTTCTCTGTTCTCAGGCTTAGAGTCTTCATTTATTCAAAAAACAAAAAAAGAATGGGGGAAAGGGCTGTCAGGAGGCAACAAGCCAAAATGGTCAGCATGCTGATGGTGGCTGCATTAGCACAGTTGCGTAGCTGCACCTGCAACAGAAACTACATAGCTCATAAAATTCAAAACTATCTCATCGGGTCCTTTACAGGAAAAAAGTTTGCTAACCCGTGGAAAGGTTTTCAAATTGTGTTCCAGAGGCCTGGTATTTTGTGGAGTAGGTGTTTAAGTGGCCACTATGGTGAGTGGGTTGTGATCAATGAATCCTCTATTGTGTAGTATTTGATGCATTAGGGTTCTACATAAAACTTCATTTGAAAAAAAAAAGGTTGCCACGGCTTTGTATATGTGGTAAATATGTGTGAGTACACATGTGTGTGTGTTTACACTCACTCTTTTTGTGTGGTGTCTGTCTTCTCTAGAGAATGGGCCTCCTATCTTGGCTCTGTATAATCTTTTCATAAATCATGTGTTGATATGATTAAATTATTTAAGGTTCCAAAATGAACTTGGGTGTCTCACCCCTCCCTGCCTATGGACATAACACTCTCTTAGGAATGCTTGCTCCCTGAGGTTTTAATAGGTTAAAATGAAAACCACTGGGCTAGCCATAATCTAAGATGCCCTCCAAAGATCTGCAAACTCCTAAACCTTTTGTGATTCTAGGACATCCCTTCTTACTTTCAACACTGACCAATATCTATGGAAGCTAAGTAGGTTCCTGGAATTCCATACAGGTATATTCTTGGAAGTAAAAAAAAAAAAGCATTGCTTTAGTTTGCATGTATATATATATATATATATATATATATATA